AGAATAGAATAGAATAGAATAGAATAGAATAGAATAGAATAGAATAGGGTAGAGTAGCGTAGAATAGAATAGAATAGAGTAGAGTAGAGTAGAATAGCGTAGAATAGCGTAGAATAGAATAGAATAGAATAGAATAGAATAGAATAGAATAGAATAGAATAGAATAGAATCTGGAAGGAACTTTGGAGATCTTCTAGTCCAGTCTCCTGCTCAAGCAGGAAAACCTATACCATTTCAGATAAGTGTCCATCTAGCCTCTTCTTAAAAACCTCCAGTGATGATGCACCTACAACTTCTGAAGGCAAGATGTTCCACTAGTTAATTGTCCTCCTCACTGTTAGGAACTTTCTCTTTAATTCCATCTTACTTCTCTCTTTGATTAGTTTCCAGCCATTGTTTCTTCTCCTGCCCTCTGGTGCTTTGGAGAACAATTTGACCTCCTCCTCTTTGTGGCAGCCCCTCAAATACTGGCATACTGCTACTATCATGTCACCTCTAATTCTTCTTTTCTTTAGACTAGCTATACCCAGATCCTGCAGCTGTTCTTCATATGTTTTAGTCTTCAGCCCTTTGATCATCTTAATTGCTCTTCTCTGAATTTTTTCCAAAGTCTCAACATCTTTTTTGTAGTATGGGGACCAAAATTGGTTGCAGTATTCCAGGTGTGGTCTTACTAGGGTTTTATAAAGTGGTACTAATACTTCACGTGATCTTGATTCTATGCCTCTGTTTATACAATCCAGGATTGTATTAGCTTTTTTGACTTCTACTGTACACAGCTGGCTCATATTCAATTGATCATCCACTAGGACTCCAAGGTCCTTCTCACAGTGACTGTTTTTAAACCAGGTCTCACCTACTCTGTACCTATACCTTTGATTTTTCCTAAATGTAAACCTTTGCTTTTCTCCACATTAAAATTCATTTTGTTGGATAGGGCCCATTGTTCAAGTTTATTTGCAAAGGATTACAAAAATAAGCCAAAGGAGTAAAGAAGATATATAATATTGTTATTTAATTACTGGTGTAGGATTATATCTTAAATGTGAATATTAAAGAGTTGAATTTTGCTGCCAATGCAGGATAAAGTTAATAACCTTCATCCTATTTTGTTACATACCAGCTGTTTTTAACTCAAGTAATTTTCATAATCTTTCTGTGTTGAGCTTCTGAAATCTCTCCTCTGTGGAGATCAATATTTAGTAAATGCCTTGTGTTTACTCAGAAATAATTTCCTCTTACACTTATATTTTCTTATTAATTATGCATCTATCTTGCTGCAATCATAATAACCTATTTTGATATACAAGATTTCCTTTATAATCACTTGTCATCAAAATACTACAAATTACCATTTTCTTTATTAAAATGTCATGTACTATTAAATAAATCAGGAATTTAACTTCCAGTTTGTTTATATTTTCCTTTGCTACAACACATCCACCTCTATCCAACTTTGTCATCCTATGCTGCATAGGCTGCAGCCTTTTAAAAATCTTTCTGGAAATTCTAATCCAACGCCTTTAGCACAGGTTGGGGGAAGACATCTTTAATGATTAATGTATTAATTTCATTTTTTCTGGTAAATGGAGACTTCTTAATCTCCACATAATCCAGTCTGTACTGCTGTGAAGAGAAATGGGTCGAATTCTAGGTGAGGTTGGGAAGATCACTTATATAGCATCCATTCATACATCTCATTCCTGATTATATCTTCCCAAACAACCTTTTCAGGGCCATAATACAGATAGCCTACACTGCTGCCATCAGTAAAGCAAATTTATGCTGTAAATGAAGATTCAAATCAGAAATCAAAAGATGCTACGTAAAACAAAACAGACAAACTCGCTCAAGTGGTGTATCCAGTTCAAAATTATCTTGGAAAAATCACAGAAGAGGTAAAGAATGAGGTGATTTTCCTTTGTTGAAGCTGTATTTCTAAGCTTCGGTGACAGAAGCACAGGGTATTTCTGTGTACTTGTATTTTAGGCAGCTTATGGAATTAATGTTTCTTAATAAGGATTATAAAGTAAGAGCAGTCTCACTGAAGTCTATAAAAGCACTAACGCAGTGTGAGTCTAATTAGATAGCTACAAAAAAAAAAAAAAACCCCCACCTGAGAGCAATTATAGCAGGTCAGTCTGCTGTAGTTAAATGAAACAGGTTGAGTTTTCTGTTTATCAAATCCTAAATCCATATGTAATTCACTTATGCTGAATACCACTTAATAATAAAAAAAAATCTATAGGCTGCAATCCAACATTAGAATTAAAGTTGTTTTTCTACATTATTTAGGAATCAGCCCCACCGAATTCAATGGACTTACTTCTAAGTTGAGCTTTACCTGGTTATGATGCTAGCTTGTAGCTTTCTTTGGGGCCTAAAAGTAGCACAGCTATATTTTATTTGGGATATGCAGGCAAATTTTCAATAATTCACAAGTTAAGTTTGCTGGAATCCTACCTAGTAAAGAAGAATATTGCCTACTTTCCTTAAATACGTTTTCTCCCTAGTTTTTGGGGCACAGTTTCTGCTCTTTAGCACATAGAACTCAATCCTTGTACTGCTAGCTTGCCATTTCTTGAGCTATCCCTTGCCTTTTTATCGAGAAGTTCCATTTTATGCTCAATATTTCAGCTTGTGTTATGTTCTAATATCTAAGTCAACTTTTCACACACACACGAATGCTTAAATTGGTAGATCATAAAAATTCAACTCCAATTAAAAACAGATTTCATGTCAAACTAAATTAGTTGTTCATTATTGGAAAGTAATAGACATGCATATTTTTACTATAGAAATAATAAGTGGAGATGGAAAAAACGAGCTAAGCATCTATTAGAGTTGAGGCACAGGAGGAAAAGTGGTAAAGTTCTCTTCCCTGCTATGTTCTTGACCAGAAACCTCTTTCAGAAGTTAATAGCTAAAGAGAAGCCCCAAAAGTGCTTTTTCAAGAGGCAACTGAACTTTCTGGTTTTTCCTTGAAGACGTTTCACTTCTCATCCAGGAAGCTTCTTCAGCTCTGTGAAGTCCAGTTGCCTCTTGAAAAGGCAACTTTGGGACAACCATGACCTGGATGACTGAGAATCTCCATAAACATATACTAAAGAGAACTGTCCACTACTACCACTAGGAAACCTTTTTGAAACACAAAACAAAACAACTCCTGAGAAGTGATTTTTTTTGGGGGGGGGGGGAGCCTTCTCCTTTAGCTTCCATTAATCTTCAGATCGATCAGGTTTCCCACAGTGGTATTTTACATATGCACAACTGGATGGTTGCATAAATACACATCCATTAAATGGTTCCCTTTGCAATAAGGGAATAGCACACAGGAAGTGGTGGATGGCTTGTGGTGCCAATGGGCCAAGGAAAGAGTACAAATCTGTCCTTAGGTATCAGCGTAGAGCAGTGGTGTCCAACCTTGGCAACTTTAAGACTTGTGGACTTCAACTCCCAGCTTTGCTGGCTGAGGAATTCTGGGAGTTGAAGTCCACAAGTCTTAAAGTTGCCAAGGTTGGACACCCCTGGCGTAGAGGATGAGGGGAAAAAAACTTTACATTTTGCTGTATGGTTTTCAATGCCATTTGGATTCATTAAAGGGAAAGATGAACACACTTTGTGGCATGGCTCTGACCCACACACATCACTTCTGGAAGCTTAGCTGTACAAAGAGAGCTAAGACAACTTAGAACTGAGCAACAGAGAAATGTATACTGAAGTGGGAATTCTATGCTCTGTGAATACTTTTTAATAAACCAAAACTTAAAAGTATAGCTTGTACGTCATTGACTTTCAAATTATACACATTGCCAATGCAAATCTGAGTAGCTGTTAGATATGTCATTTTGTAGCACAAGCTATTTGTCCTCAAGAGGAAATAGAGGCATTTACCTCTAAAGCTTTTGGCATGTTGAGAATACATGTATATTTGTGAGTGAGGTTAGCATTTGGCAGCCTTTTAAAATTACATTTTAGCAGCTCAATATTTAACAATATGGTTTATCTGTAATGGAAGAAATAAGAGTCCATATTAAAGCTTAAAAGAGAAGTTTAAAACATGGATTTCTGCTGTTGTGGGCAGTGTAGTATACAGAGATTGGATAGTAATGACTAAGCCTTTGATTGGTTAATTTAATACCCAGAAATTTAGACTCTGTAGTATAAGGCTTACGAAAACTAACAAAGTGTAACACATGCAGAAGTGGCATGGAAGAATAAATCAAGATTCCTAAAAAAAACAAAGAACAAAGATAGCAAACAATTATTATATTTTTAAAAAGCATTAACCAAACTGATTTGATTGCAATAGTTGTTTCCCCTAATGTTTATCTGTGTTCCTTTCAATGTACAGTATGCAGGACCATCAGTCATGGTACATTCTAATTGGCTTGAATACATTTTACTATATTAGATTTATGGAAGAAATCATAAAGGGTATCTGGCTGAAGGTAGAATCTTGCTGTGCAACTCTGATTACATTTTTAAAAATCTTTTCACATGTTGAAGATCAGTTTGTAACATTCCTAGGACTGAAAATCTAAATACAATTACCATAAAAATGGTTTTGCTGGAAAAAGTCACTGTGAATTTGAAAACTTTCAGGAGAAATCCAGAACAGAGCACTAATTTTAAAAGTCCCATTGGTTTAACATAAGTGCATGTTAAACCAAATGCAGTACATGTAGAGAGATTATATGCATTAGCCTAATATCAAGTTTCATATCATCAAAATATAAAATACCAAAGGAAAGTCATAGATGGACTTATTTTTTAAAATCTTCAATGTACTGACTGCATGACATTTTTAAACACACCTGTAGCAAGAAACAATATTTGCAAGCAGTAAATAATACTTGTGAGAGAAACATTAACAATGATTATCAACTTGTGACGATCAAAGAGAATTTATGAAAATGTAGGAAAATTGATCTCTTCTTACTACCATACCTTGTACATCCAAAATATTTTTTAAATACCTTCAGATTATTTAGGATTAGATAATTAGAGCCACACTTTCTTCTAAAGCAAATTTCCAAATAGAAATATTTCATCACAGTCTAGGTTATTGATAGAAGGCTGATGTGTGTGCTGTATGATCTTGACATGTGAAACCAGCATATTCACAGAATGAGAAACTCTCAGCCCAGTAAACAACTGACATTGTTCTTATCATGGACATGTCAAGAGTCAATTGCATGATTTCTAATCAGAGGAGGAATCAATGACACATCTTGATGCACTTTCAATTTCTCTGAAATTACTGCCACTGACCAGGATGATTATATGCCAAAAGTCCTTACAACTCAAAAGTGTTATTGATTTCCGGAAGTCAATATCAGTCTTCCTAGATGTTTGGAGTGTGCCAAACAAATGAATTGAGAAAACACAAAGAAAACACAAGCATTTAAATCTCTAATGCAAAGTTCTACATACGCACAGCTATCACTGATTTTGGAGATTATGGAGGGGTATAATTCCCATATGGAAGCAAAGGCTCCTATTTGTATATTTTGTTTCTTAGCAGTGTTATCAGGTATGCCTTCACACAGAGACACATTCATTCTTTCATCCATCCATCCATTCATCCATCCATCCATCCATTCATAGAATTTATTTAAATGCCCATTTCATCCTTGTGATTGTAGGTGGCTCATGACAAAAAACAACATACAAACCGATATAGGTTATCATAAAAATAAATTAGAAATGTGGGAAAGCCACCTAAATAAATCTATCTCATTATCAAAATCCTGTACAGGGAAGGTTCTACTGACACCCTGGCTCCAATGTTTTAGGGGAAAACCAGATCTTCACATTTTCTAGAAGACTAAAAGGGATGAAGCCTCCCTGATATTGGGGGAGGAAGCTGTTCATAAGTCAGTTATATCTTAGAAAAATAAATACATTTGCAGAGATTAATAAAATAAATTTATGTATCATTTATGTAATGACAATGACAAACATTATCTAAACCAAGATCAAACGTTTATTTTTAAGAGAATTATTCCAAAAGAAAAGAATGTGTTTAAACTTTAGCTAATCATGTTGAGGAATGAATGGGAATAAATTCTCATGAATCAGTAGCAAAATTTATTAAAATGAGAATATTCTTAATGTTTAAAAAATACACCTACATTTTAGTGAATCAAAAATGGCACATATTTCTCCATACTCGTTCAATTAGGAAAAATATTGCCAATAAATTATTGTCTTTTCTTTATTTTAAGGTATCTCATATTTTTCTTATTTCCCTCTTTTTCCACCATATTCTCGTCATTTGGAATAACAGTATTTAAGCTACTTAAGGAACCGTTTTAAATTTGGGATTAGAGCCCACTCACCATTGTTTAAAATAATGTCCAAATATTGTTTGTGCCTGACCTTGGGTTCATAAGAGGGTCTCTTTAGGCAATTGTTATCATTTAAATGTCATTTTATCCTTATTTATTTCTGATCCTTGAATAACATCATTGGACTGAACAGAAACAAAATTGGACATAATTTAAAAAAATGAGAAGGAAAAAGGGTCCTTTTTGTGAACTGTTTCTGAAGTAATTGCATTGTGGATGAACTATTGCCAGTCTAAAACAGTCTAAAACATGAAGTGGAAGTGAGCTCTTCAAACTAAAATGAGTTCTAAATTATTTCAGAAATAATTATAATATATAAATTCTGAATGTGATCATCAATAATTAACAGTGGCTGAAATAGAAGACCTTTTTCATAAGTAAGTGGGCACTTACTAATTTCTGCTGGTACAGGATAAAAGAAAATATCTGTTCAGCTAAGAATCTAGCAACTTACCTTGCTCCGAGAAGATGATGGAAATTGGATATTTTGTCATTTCTTCTTCAATCTTCTGACTGGTGATTTCTTTAAATGTTGAAGGAAAGAGAATCCCCGTGGTCTCCAAGACAGTAGAAGACATGGTGGAGACTGGGTAATCTACTTCACTAAAGTTTTTTGTCACTGTTGTTACATTTGCATAAATGAAAGGCATTCCAGAAGTCTATTAAAAAGAGGAGAAAAATAGTGGCAATCTTCATTTATACTTTAATGTGGCCAAAATACAGTAAGTTTTATTTCTACTTTAATTGTATACTACAATGTTCAAAATACTCTAACAGATAAATATTAGCCCATCAGTCTGTCCATAAATATTTCTAAAGGATTGGTCACCTGATTTGCTGTTGTTATAAACCAAGGAATATAAATGTGTGAAATTTCTTGGAACTCAACCAAGAGCTTTTAGCTATGGCACAAGAAGTGATTGTTATATCACTGTTAAATCTCACATCTCATGATAGTCCACTCATCCAATCTCCAGCCAATAGCTGAGTTAGCTTAAGGTTTAGCAGCTTCCCTTTCATTGATTTTCCCCCTTTTTGTCCCAACATAATACTTCCCACGGATACAACTGTGAAGTTTTGATTGCTAAAGCAGGAATTGGCCTAGCTACTCTTGGCCATTTTAGACTGCTGCAGATATGACCTTTCACTTGAAATTCCTAACTGGACTTCTCCACCACCATTACTCTTTTGGCAATGGAAAAATCTGACTCTTTCAAATCTTACTTCCAAAGCCCCCGTTGAATGGATTGGTTCTAAGACCCCTGTCTTCAAACTTGACAGCTTTAAGACTTGTGGACTTCAACTCCCAGAATTCCTCTTCCAGTCATGTTAGCTCAGGAATTCTGGGAATTGACATCTATAAGTCTTAAACTTGCCAAGTTTGAAGAGCCTTGTTCTAAGGTATTGGAGACCTTAGCAGTCAAGGAACCATATTGTATCTCCTTCCCTTCAAATCTCGACAACTAAACCTAAGGCTGTCAGAACTTCAGATGTTGGCCTTGGCTCACCCCTTCTTCTCTTACCGCACTATCACCGTAGTGAAGCTCTTCTGTTTTATTGTGTTCACCCTCCTCCTTTAGTAGATGTCTAAATCTACCTAAATCTATTCTTCTGTCCTTCAGCTGCAGGCTCGGCCTACAGTAAGAAAAATGACTGGTGCATGTTCTTCAGCTGGTTAGTAACCTGTGATGAATGACAGACAAATTGCTGCCAATTACTTTTCTTAACTACCCTGTATTTATGTCTGTGCTGAATTGAGGATTGAAGGGATGCTAATCTTATTTACTATTAAAGTTTTGTTGCGGAAAAAAGACAATAAAAGTTACCCACCAATTCAGCTCCAGCTAGAGCATCTGTTACCATTGGCTGCATATCATTATTTATATCAGTAAATGGCCTGATGATTTCTGCAAAATGAGACAAATGAAATGGTCATTTTTTGATCAAATTTACCCAGCTGTGACCTATCAAAACTGACCATAGTATGTCAATTATTATATAGGATTCTGTGTTATAAACACAGCATAACAGTAAAAATGCTGTTTTGCCCCCTTGTTGTTAGTATCAGCTGAACCTCTAAGGCGATCCTCTTAAACTGGGCAACCAAAACCTTTTTAAGGCTCTAATCTGAGCTATTGGTGTCCTTGCATTTCACAATGACATCCTGGGGCTTCTGACTATCTTAGAAAACTGAACTGATTACCTGCTAATGATAAATCGATCCATTTGGACTCCTGCTCTAGAGGAAATGCAGGTAGGAATACCTTCAATAGCAATAGCACTTCAACTTATATACCACTTTAAAGTGCTTTACAGCCCCCTCTAAGCGGTTTACAGAATCAGCATATTGCCCCCAACAATTTTATACACCTTGGAAGGGTGGAAGGCTGAGTCAACCTTGAGCCTGGTAAGATTTGAACTGCCAAATTTCAGGTAGCCAGCAGTCAGCAGAAGTAGCCTGCAGTATGCACTCTAACCACTGTGCCACCAGGGCTCAAGATTCCTTCTTCCCTCAAAAAGCCATTCCTTGGCTTTCTCCTCCACTATGACTCTCTGATATGAACAGTTAGAAGGGGCTCAGAGCACCAGCTATTTTTATGAGGGAATCTGCAGCTGAAGTGAGGGGAGGAGTCTGGAGAGGTGGACATCAGGCACAAAGAACCAGAACAACACTGAGAGTTGATCAGAGTGGTATTTTATTGCTGCTCGCCAATTTATAAGAATCTTGCCAGACTGACTCCGCTCACTACAGAGCAGCCAGATAAACACTCCAAGTCTTAGAAAAGCATCTGCTTTCTGCCACTTCTCCCCTTCAGTGATTTCAAGCTAGCCACTCTCTTAACTACTCCCCCACCCACTTCAACTGCAGATTCCATAACTATTTCTTCTTGACCACCTCCCCTCCAGCTTCCTAGATGCTGCTTATAAGGAGGAGGGGATGATAAGGACAGTTACTAGACACTGTGTGGTAAACCCAAACTGTCCATTGCATTGGGAGGGTAGTGAAACTAGCGGCTGCAAAGCAGAGGTGGTATTCAGCAGGTTCTGACCAGTGCTGGAGAACTGGTAACGGAAATTTTGAGTAGTTTGGAGAACCGGCAAATACCATCTCTGACTGGCCTCGCCCCCATCTATTCTCTGCCTCCTGAGTCCCAGCTGATCAGCTGGGTCTTCTTTTGTTGCCCTTCACAGGAGAACGGAGCTGGAAAGCAGGTTAGTGGGGTGGGGAGGGAATGGGATTTTGCAGTAACCTTCCCCCAGGAGGGGGGAAGGAATGGAGATTTTACAGTTTCCTTCTGCTATCCTGCCCGCCACGCTACGCCCACCAAACCATGCCTACCAAGTCACACCCACAGAACTGGTAGTAAAAAAAATTGAACCCCACCGCTGCTGCAAAAGAAAGTTTTAGGTTCCCCAGCAGGAAAATACTGATAAAGATCTTATCTTGGTCAGCCATTATGTATCTATCAAAACAATTTCAGTTTGTTACTGAATGCAAACTCAACTAGAAGTACCTGTCGACTAGGCTCAGTCTATATGACATACACATATTCATACTCCAGTTCCTTGCATTCAAAATGGACATTTCTATTTAGATGGCAACCTAAGCATCATTCTATGCTGTTTCCAAAATTATAGAAGTGGGAGATCAGCCATATTTGCCTGATTCTTGGCAACTGTCACTCCTGCTGCTGCTTCAATACATGCAGTGACTACTTAGCATTCCATACGTGCTTAGCCAAGAGTGCAATAGGATATTCCAGAGAGACGTCAGTGGCTCTACTATGAAGCTACTTTAACTTAAAGAATAAGGATTCCTTATCCTTTAATTACTTTTTAAAGTTTATGCTAAGGCAATTAAAAAGGGAAGGAGCAGCAACAACTCATTTCTTCCTCAGGAATCTGGGTCTTCCATTGTTCTAAAGCATTGCAGAGAGAATGTTGATGGCATCATAAAACAGAGATGGAGAATATTTGGCCAAATGTTCTGCAAAGGGATGTTCCTACTAGTTAGAAAGGAGGGCAAAACATTTCCTCAGGAAAAAAAAAAAGCAATTTGTGAGAACTTTCAGCTCAGTTCTAAACAGTTAATTCCAACTACCTGATCTGTTACATTCAGAAGAGTTCATAATAGAACATGGCAAAACACATCACAGCTGACTCATTAATAGATCAGAAATTGTATTAATAGAAGGCATAAAGGACACATATTGCTGTATTTCTAGTAATTCCCCCTTTCAGTCCTATTCCTTTTATGTCTGGTTTAGGAAGATTTTAATTTCCTACAAAAGCATTTCTGGAAGGATCAGGGAACAACAAAGGGTTGCATAAAATGGAGACACCCCCCCCCCAATTTTTTTTTTTTAGGATCTCAGTAAATGGAAACAGAATTTTTGAATGATAACAGAATAGTTAGTTCTTTATCTGGCAGGCAACAAATTATGCAAAATTTCTGAAGTGAAGCCATATAGCAGCAGTAGGCAAAATATTCCTGTCTTTTGTAATTAATTAAAACCTGGTCATTCAATAACACTGTTTCATGCCTCAATTTATTTAGCTAGATCATCACATACTTTATGTATTAAAAATTATACAAATTAAATAGGGTCAGTCATTGTCATCTGCTTCCTGGATCACACCATTCCATTCATTCCATTCCATTCAGCTGAATATCACTAATGCTACTAAATGCTTAGCAGTTCAAAGAAACGTCTCAAATCTGTTCTACCCTAGTATTTATATGAAATACTTTTGTTATCTGAAAATTAGCTGACAACCGCATGAAAACCATTGAGGCAGACTTGGGGTGTTGTTTTTTTTGACCCTGCTGTCTTATGGCATTTTCTATCAACAGCGGACACAAAGGCTGCCTTTTACACTAAAGGCTGGTGAACTCCCTGCATCCCATTTCAGATAAGGTTTTGGCCTTACTCAATAATCTCCTGCTTCAATGACTGAAATGCACTTTATCTTGGGCTGGTTCTGAAGGTCATCAGAAGCTTCCACTAGCACAAATACAAAATTCAACCTCTGGCAAGAGGAGGCTGGGAAGCATATAATCCCAGGCTTGGTTTGGTTTGCTGTGCTTCTGTATTTGCTTCCAAGGCTAATTCAGAATATGGAATTTGACCTTTCAAGGCCTGCATAATTTAGAAAGAGCTGCTTCCCATATGTTTCCATCCCCTGCCTCTGAGCTCCAAACAGAAAGCCAAGCTTGGTATTGGAGATATACACCTTATGGTCCATACCACCTCTTTTGCGGGCACCACAAAAAGATTGCGACTCTATAGAATGCTTATAACATTAACTAGTTGGGGGGAAAAGAGCAGTACACGGAGAGTAAGAGATAAAAGGATGGCATGTCTCCTAACAAGTCGAGCAAATGCAATCATCTTGCTGACATATCTTTAGTTTTAATTTGCTGCTCTTTTCTTTTTATTATCTAAAATAGGTTTCTTAATTAATTATAAGTCAGCCTAATGGAGGAGAACAACAGCAACTACAAGGAACACTATTCAGGAGCTAAAATCTCTTGGATTTGTCTGGGGAGGTAGGGAACAAAGCTTGCCCTCAAAATAAGAAATCAGATACATGCACCAAAACAGTGAAATGGAATGATTCAGAAAAAAAAAAAGGAAGGAAGTTAGTTATCAACTATGACATATCACAGAAAAGCAGCCCACAACTTCCTAATACCTTTTTTCTGAGGAAGAAAATACAAAGAATCTATAAGGCAGGGGACTATTCAATTTCTTTGAGAAGATCAGAGTAACATTAATCAATCCATCCATCCATTAATTAATTTGCAGTAAGCATTTCTAACTTACTGACCATCCTTAAACTGGAGTGTTTCAAAGTCCATGAATAATGATTTATCTTCTTGTAAGAGCATGGCAACCATCTGCTGAAGGTCTGCTATTTTTGGTACAAATGTAGGTATCTCCTTCTCTTCGCCAAGAATGCTCTTCTCGCTTTCAATTTTTTTGACGTCAGTACCATCCGCAGGTAGTTCTGAACCATCTCTTTCAAAGTTGGCAATATATTGTGCCACAGTGCTGCTTGTCCTGTGGAGTAGGAAGAAGAAAGGAATATCGGTTTGTTGATGTGGGAGGAGGAAGGAACATGGTATATTATTTGGGGACTGATTTTTACAGCTAAGGTGCTGAATTAAACTACAGCCAACAAGTAATATCTTCCAGCTAATTTCTGACTTAAATTTTACTGCAGAGCTTATGGAAATGGGCATAAATAAAATGCCATTGACTATCGATTCATTTTGTAATACAGTTCATATCAGTTTAAAACATCAACTTGACATTATTCAGGTTGTCCATGGGTGGGGGGGTTTAAATAAAGTCACAGTCATAATCATGTGATTGAAGATTTGAAACCTTTTATGCGACATGGCCACAGAAATAAAAAGGGACTGGCTTCAGTCACATGGTTGTGGTGGCCATCTTGACATTTCAGAGCCCCCCCGCTCCATCCGTTGGATGCCTTGACTATATTATTGAAAGACCTACTCCAATGTACCAGTATTTCAGCAAAATGAAAGTGCATCTCATTTACCCAGGAATACAATTTAAAATGTAGAAAATAAACAAAACAAATAATTTTTCAGGCGATACCGCTCTTGAGGCATATGGGTCTTTGTAAAAACAAAAATACAATTGGTGAAAATAAAATTCTCAAGAGATTAGTGAAACATCCTCTCAGCCTGCGCTTAATATAGCCATTACTCAGATATCAAGAGCCTTGGTGGTGCAGGGGTTACAATGCAGTATTGCAGGCTAATTCTGCCGACTGCAGCAGTTCAATTCTCACCGGCTCAAGGTTAATGCAGCCTTCCATCCTTCCGAGGTCGGTAAAATGAGAACCCAGATTGTTGGGGGCAAGAGGCTGAGGTTGAAAACTGCTAAGCAGGTGCTGTAAAGCACCATGAAGTGGTATAGAAGTCTAAGTGCTATTGCTATCATTTTTGTAAAGAAGACATTTTTCATTACTTTTGTCTCTTAAGTCCTTGAATCTGTTAAAGACATGAAATGAGCATCATTAACCTGTAGCAAAATCTAATAATTGTGTGTGTGTGTGTGTGTGTGTATGAGAGAGAGAGAGAGAGAGAGAGAGAGAGAGAGGGAGGGAGAGAGAGAGAGAGAGAGATCTCACACATTGCTTTTCTCTGATTTAATGGTTTTTTTTACTGCATATTTCTCTTTTGATTAGACTTTAAATTGAACTGGCCTTCTGTTTCATGTAGTTTTATTCACAAGGCCAGTCCATTGCCTCCCTTAGGACATTTATTTTATTTATTTATTTTATTGATTTGATTTGTCAATTGCTTACAAGATAATAGGTATAAGTATAAACATGAGTAAGAATACAGGAAATAGGTACGAATAAATGGGGACAATAGGACAGGGATGGTAGGCACGATGGTACACTTAAGCACGCCCCTTATGGACCTCTTAGGAATGGGGTGAGGTCAATAGTGGATAGTTTGAGGTTAAAGGAGTGGGGGTATAGAGGATGTAACAACAGAGTCAGGTAGTGCATTCCAGGCATTGATCACTCTGTTGCTGAAGTCGTACTTTCTGCAATTGAGTTTGAAGTGGTTTACATTGAGTTTGTATCTGTTGTGTGCTCTTGTATTGTTATGGTTGAAGCTGAAGTAGTCATTGATTGGTAGGACATTGTAGCAGATAATTTTGTGTGCTACGCACACAATTTCCCAAACTTCCCAGGCTTGTCAATCATCCAAGATGTTTGGCATCTGAGACTGGTGCAGAGCAGCTGGGATGGGATTGAGTGGGCATCCAGAAGGGCTCAGGTAGCCACCAAAACAATACCATCCCTTTAGGAGTGGAATGTTCTCTTTTTAACCTCTCTCAAGTGCACAAAGTGCTTATTTACACAGTTAAAAAGGACACAGATGCCATCAGGAATTCTGGATGCTCCAGAGCTCCAATGCTTTGGTGTTCAGTTCCAGCAAACACAGAGATTCTCCCTCATCCACAATCAGGACAGAGGATTTTGTGTTGCTGAATTAAACGTAGCATTAATGACTGGGGAACATTAATAAAATAAACCCTTGAGAGCAGGATAGTAAAATGTAAATGACTATGGTTCTGTCCTATTTGTGCAGCAGTTCATGAGTAGAAAGGAAGGAAGGGACAGATCAGTAGGATACAAGGCTTGTTCTGTATTGGGATCTACATTAGAGCCACTTTGATGTTGTGATAAAGGCGCTGTGAGTTCTAGCACTGCCTTTGGTATGAAAACCGGCTGGGTGACTTTGGGCCATTCACTTTTCTCAGCCCAACTCACCTCACAGGATTGTTGTTGTGGTGAAAATAGGAGGAGGAAGGAGTATGAAGTATGTTCGCTACCTTGACTTATTTACAAAAATAATAAATGTAGGATATAAACAAACAAACAAATAATAAGGAAACATCAGTAATAATAAATGGTAAATAAACTATTTAGTCTTTCTTAAATAATAATAATAAGAAATAATTAAATAATAATAAATAATATTAAACTCTGCGTTTCCCTTGCTATTAAAAATCTCACCCAGCTCATGAGAACTGGGCATGATATTGTATAAATTTCCGAAAGACTCTATTCTAAGAATTAGGGATTTCCACATTTGTTTTATTACTTTATTATGAATGTCCTTGTACCATTCTCCAGGAGAATGACAATTCTACCAGGCAATTATTTTAGTACAAAGTTCATTCTTCTCAAACAGCAAAGAAAAAAATAGTACTTTTGAACTATTTTTTTTTTAAAAGTCCTCTGCAGTAGCAAATCATAGAAAGGATAAGGAGGCCCTGGAAAGTGGAATGTATTTTGCTTTCCATTGCAAAAATACTTGAAACCCTGAAGCACAAAGCCTTCAAAAATGCTTTCAGGTTTGACTGAAAATTCAATAGTAACTGAGGAGGCCCCATGAGATCTAAAAAATCTGCACCTTGGACAATTTCATTTTGTGAGTCAAATGAGAACGGACCTTCCAGCAATGTCTCAAAGTTTTATAAAAGGAGCCCAGGAAGCAGTTTTCTTTATACACGGTGTTTTCCCAAGGAGATATATAAAGGTATTTATTTTGTTTTTGTTCTGAAAAGAACGTGAAGGTTATGATTTCTGAGTGATGGCTATCTCAAGAGGAAAGAAAACAATTCGGGTTGTTTCAGTAGGATTCAATAAATGAACGAAGTCTAAGACTTGGCACTTTTCCCACACCCCACTCTCCAATTCAGCCTGAAGGAAGGAAAAGGCAAGATTGGGACCTGATCTTGTTTTACACATGGAGTTCAATTTTTTTTTAAACTGCCATTGATTGCTGAACAAACCAGCAACAAATCATACAATATTAGGCCTTCGTCTAGCACAGGGGTCTCCAACCTTGGCAACTTTAAGACTTGTGGACTTCAACTCCCAGAATTCCTCAGCCAGTTGAAGTCCACAAGTCTTGAAGTCCACAAGTCTTAAAGTTGCCAAGGTTGGAGACCCCTGGTCTAGCAAAGCCTTTAACAAACTATCTTCAAGATGCCTGCTTTCCAGCTGTGTGAACTTCAATTCTCAACATTGATAGAGCTGATGAGAGAATTCTGAAGTCCAAATTCCTAGAGAGGACATCTTTGAGGTTTCCATGGTTCCTGAAATACAGGCAACAATAAGTCAAGAATTTGGGGAAAAGAAAAACTACACGCTGGTTAAGGCCTGTTGCCAATTACATAGGAATGTGAGAATATGGAAGCCTAGACTTCTGTTTTGCTTCCCAAATGTTTATCGACACTACACTGAACCCATTATGTACTAGGTCTTGGACAGAGCAGTGACTTTTGCTTTCTACCCGATTTAATTTGCCTAGACTATACAATGTCATTTAAAGAAAATATTTCCTTCTGTATTTGAAAGAAAAGAAATCGACTTATTTAATATTACTGCTATAACTAATTATATATCACCTATTAAAAAAACCTGCAGGAAAGTTACCCATCTTTTTCCTTCTTCTGTCTTCAGTTCAGCATACGACAGGATAGATGGAAGCATTCAAAAGGAAGAAAGACAAAAAAAAAGTCAAACCATTAACCTGTGTGGGCATATACCACTTGTTTACATTAAGATCTGCATTTTGCACACTGAAATGAGGAGGAGGAGGAGGAGGAGGAGTGGAAAAACCAGATTGCTATCATTACAGTTGTTTAATTCACTGTCATTACTCCTTCCATTCTGGTAGCAAAAGGTTGTAACTGCTGTAGATTCTCTTTTCCCTCCTTAATCCTTCTCCCCTGAGTCATCATTTACACAATATTTTCCGATGCTCTTCCAGAAAACCTTTCTTTCTGCTAACAAAGGATGTGTGTAAAAGGCAGGGGGTGTTTGGGGGGTGTTGTCAAAAAAATCAAGATGATGGCTGTGATTGTGCCATACGTGTTGCACATACAACGCATGTGAAAAGGTTAGGGCTTTGAAGATGCTGTCAGAGCCATCCTTTTGAATTTTCTGATTCCTCTGTGGGCACCCCGGTAAGAAAATTCCAAAGGAAAGATTCCCCTCCTTCTTTTTTTCCTTCTATAGCTGTCAGCATTCTAAGACTCAATTTCTAGCAACTATAGGAAACCCGTAACCTTAATGCAGCAATTTTTAATTAACAATTTCCTTATGGGCCTACCTTAGGTAGGCCTACAACCACAACAGAGACCAAAATTATTCGGCCAAGCGAGACATTTGTTAAGTGCGTTTTGCCCCATTTTACGACCTTTCCTGCCACTCTTGTTAAGTGAATCACTGCAGTTGCTGCCTTAGTGACATGGTTGTTAAGTGAATCTGGCCTCCCCATTGACTTTGCTTGTCAGAAGGTCGCAAAAGGTGATTACCTGACACTGGGATACGGCAACCGTTATAAATATGAGTCAAGTTGCCAGGTGCATGAATTTTGGACACATGACCATGGTGATGCTACAACAGCAATAAGTGTAAAAAACTGGTCATAACTCACTTTTTCCAGGGCTTTTGTAACTTTGAATGGTTACTAAATGAACTGTTGTAAGTCAAGAACTGCCTGTATTTATGTATTAATTTTGAGAGAGAGGCAGTTAAGATTTATTTTCACCTAGAAACAGTACAGTAGATGTCTTTAACAATACACTCAGGGGTGGGATGCTTCCGGTTCTGCTTGGTTCTATAGAACCGGTAGCTCTGAAGAGCAGCAGACACCAAACTGGTTCTGTGTTTGCTGCTGTTTGGCCCACTCACCCACCCGGGCTCTTACCTGTCCTTTATTTCCTGCTTTTTCAACCTCAGCTTCTTTGCACGGCACAGCTAAGCTTGAAAAAGCAGAAAAAAAGTGGCTTTTCAAACGCTGCACACCTACGTGCAGCGCTTTTCAGCTGTCCGGGCGGCACAGCTTAAGGTTTTTTACACACGTGCAAAACATAGTCACCGAACTGGTAGTAAAACCAGTTGAATCCTACCCCTGAATATACTACTATGTCTTTAATTCTCAGAAGCAATACAGTACAATGTCTTTAATCCTCTTGTGTCTGCTATTTCTATTGGCAGTGCCCTACAGACATTCAGGTACTCAGTTTTGAGTTAAAGTATAATCAGAATGTTGGTGCAGAATAAAACACTAAACATCAAAACTCAATGTAAGAAGTTCAATACCTCTATTGTTTCCCATATGACACAGAAAAAAGGGAAGTAGTTTTACTTATGTTTCTGTTTCTCTCAGATTCTGCTTTGGGGCAAAGAATGCAAATATCTAGTTTACTGCATACTTGAAAACCAGCTATTAAAACTGAAATTATTTTGTTAATTTGTTTCTTTACTAGATAATTTATATTGTGCTACTGGTGCTTTGTCGAATTTCATGTTTGCTTTGTTTTCCATTCTGTTTTGAAATTTTAAAATTCAAAATAAAATTACAGGGCTAACTTGTTTAGCTTGATATTTTGAAGGCTGGTGGGCAGAAGTGCCGTTTGGTTTGGAATAGAATAGAACAGAACAGAACAGAACAGAATAGAATAGAATAGAATAGAATAGAATAGAATAGAATAGAATAGAATAGAATAGAATGTAGAATTCTTTATTGGCCAAGTGTGATTGGACACACAAGGAATTTGTCTCCAGTGCATAAGTTCTCAGTGTACATGCAAGCAATAAAGAGATGTCATAGGTCATAAATTATAAGATAGAATAATAAAGCATAAGATACAATAACAGTTGATAAATTATAATATACCAACAGGAGAAGATAGAAGGAAAGATAAGAGGTGAGAAAGATGAGAAGATGGGAAGGATAAATTATATTAAATTAAAATGAATTATATTCAAATTCTGATCTTCACTGTACTGGGGCCCTTTCATTAATGTTTTCCTTGAGTATGTATATACACTTTGTGGAACTTTTAACATTTTGAAAAAAAAAAGGAAAGGAAGGGGGAAAACAATCTAAGGAAAGTAGTAAGAAAAGTCCCAGGATTTCCCAAATAAAACAATGGAATTATTCAAATGCTTATTTTAAAGGTTAGGGGACCTCTAACACTCCCTGAAGTAACATTGTACAAAGATCTTATCCATAAGGCAAGTCACTGCCAGATAAAACAGCACCACGTGAAATGACATTCTACTTCTAGCTAATTAACACAACTTTGATTCCTCAAGTCCTGCAAACTCTAATCTCTTTGCTTGTGAGAAAGTTTCACTGAATATGACAGGACTCCCTTCAGAATCATACAAGCAAGGGTCATATTGTAAAGGGCCTTATTGTGGAAGCAACCACTGAGAAATCTCAGAGCCTTAGATGCCTGATTTTACTTTTTCCCCTTCTATTCTGCCTTATTTTCATAGTTGAATGCTTGAGCTATTTCTCAGACGATTTGTACCCCGGGATCTATACTAGAGTAAAAAATACATGGCTATAATAGCAGCTTTGAAAGCAGAACAATTTTCCGGAGGAAAATAATTTGACCCATATGAACATTACTACTCCAACATGTAAAATAAGGTTGACATTTGAGTTCCTATTAATAAATACAAGTTGATTATGGAGGAAGGGGCCAAGAGGAGCTACAGTACACTAACTCCAGCACAGTCAGTGTACTGTAATGAACCTGAGAATGGTTATGTAGTGTATTTAAATAAAGACTTCTAGGGAAATGTTCCTATTGGTTAACAGAAGCAATGATACAATTGGTTAGTAACGTTAGTACCTGATTGGCTGCCAATAGTGGCGGGAAGTTTAACTAAATGTCATTGGTTGCAAGCCATGGAGCAGCTGCTATAAAAGGGGCTGCTGCGGTTCAACTGCAGTTGAAGTTACTGTTATAATTAAAGAGATGAATTCAACTCCTGTCTGTGAGTCTCTTTACTGGCGACAGAACACTGGCGACGAAGGTGGGATTGAAGAGACAAAGACCGTAAGCACGTGGCAACAACAGCCGAAGGACCAACGAGATGGCCGGCAGCAATTCGCCACCCGCACCGTTCAACCCTGCCGAAGAAGAATGGGAGTCGTACATTGACAGATTCCTGATGTTTTTAGAAAGCAACGAACTGCAAGGAATCACTGACCAAAGGAAGAGAGCCGTATTCCTAACGCATTGCAGCCTGACTGTTTTTAAAATGGCCAAAGCGTTAGCAAGACCAAATGATGTGAAACAGATGGCATGGCCAGACCTGAATCGGATGTTGAGGAACCATTACGTACCGGCCGTATCCAACCTAATTAGAAGACACGAGTTTTACAAGCGCGACCAACTAGAAGGCGAGAGCATTGGAGACTTCATAGCAGCATTAAGAGACATTGGGGGGGGGGCATGCGAATTCCTCAACATGGACAAAGCCGTGAGGGATCGCATAGTCCTTGGACTAAGAGACGCAACCTTACAGAGCAAACTACTAAACCGACCAAATATCACCGTCAACAAAGCCATTGCTGAAGCAACTGCCGCTGAAGCCGCAAAGAAATCTGCAGCAAAAATGAAGCAGATGAATATGGCGGGCAGCCCGAGCATGAACAAAGAGAAGAAGACAGAGGGAACCAAAAAGCACGCTGCCACATCCTCTCACCATGAGGACATCGAATCATCAACCGATTCAGATGACAAAGACGAGGAAGTGAACAGACTCTACTCAGAAAGGAACCAGAGAGAGAGACAAGGCAGAAGATCCGAGTTCCAGTGTGCGGGTTGCGGCGGAAACCACCCGAAATCTGAGTGTCAAATCCTGAACGCTATCTGCCGGAATTGTGAGAAACGGGGACACATCGCAAGGGTATTCCAAAACAAAAAGAGCTATAATTCAAGGAGACAGGGCAGTACCCCCCGCTCCCACAGAAACAAAGAAATGACAACCGGAAGCCGTTGGAACCGTGATGGAAAAAGTCAACGGAAAGACGAAAAGGAAGAAACACACCAAACGATCACAACTGGGACGGCCAGAACAACAAACACTAAGAAGGTTCGAATCAACATCCTGATTGAAGGCGAGCCGTGCGAGATGGAAGTAGACTCCGGTTCGTATTTATCAATGGTGTCAGGGAACACAATAAAAAGCTTGATTTCCGATATAAAACTCAGAGAATTTGAGAAGCAAAACTTAATCATCAAGGACTACCAGGGTAACAAAATACCGGTAGTAGGGCTAGGACAATTCAAAGTAAGTTTTAAAAGGCACACCAAGATCCTGCCATTAACCATCGTTGACAGAGATCAGCCCAGCCTGCTCGGTTTAGAATGGTTCGAACCGCTCGGGATCGAGGTGACAGGAATAAACAACACCACCATGACTGACTGGGAAAAAGACCTGATGGAAGAATTCCATGATGTTTTTGACGGGACTTTAGGCAAGTACCGTGGGACCCCTATATCGTTTAACTTAAACCCGAACGTAGCTCCAGTTAGACTCAAAGCCAGGCGGGTACCATTTGCACTAAGACCTAAAATTGACAAACAACTAAACAAACTAATCGCTCAGGGGGTTCTAGAGCCAACTGACCACGCCAGATGGGAGACCCCAATTGTGACCCCTATAAAACCTGATGAGTCTGTGCGCATCTGTGGTGACTATAAGGCCACCCTGAACCACGCATTGCAACAGAGCTCATACCCTGTTCCAGTAGTCCAACACCTATTGCATTCATTGGGAAGAGGCAGAATTTTTGCAAAACTCGACCTCGTGCAGGCATATCAACAGTTACCCGTTGATCCTGAAACAGCCGAGGCACAAACCATCGTTACACACAGAGGAGCATTCAAATGCAATAGACTACAATTCAGCGTAAGTGTAGCCCCTGGCATTTTCCAGAGCCTAATCGAATGCCTTCTACAAGGTCTAAAAGGAGTGGTGCCCTATTTCGATGACATATTAATATCTGCTGAAAACAAAAAACCATTAAAAGACCATTTAAGGGCAGTTCTGACAAAATTTAGAGAAGCAGGACTCAAGGTCAAAAAAGAAAAATGCCAACTTGCCACAAACCAGGTTGAATTCCTGGGATACCTTATTGATGACATGCTTTGACACTGCCAGCTCATCCGGCGGCGAACGGTAGGGCGGAACGCATGGTTCGTTTTACGAAAGAAGCACTGGAAAGGCTTGACGGAAGTGATATGCAAGAAAAACTCAACACCATGCTCACCATCCAACATATAACACCATGCACAACTACGAACAAGAGCCCAGCTGAACTTTTGATGGGAAGAAAATTGAGATCTTACTTGGATAGACTGCACCCTACCTACAACCCAGAAAAGCCACCAGACTCGTCCAGTAAGTGCCGCTCTTTCTTACCAGGCAATTTAGTCTACGCAAAAAATCTTACCGGAGAACCATTGTGGTTACCGGCAACGATTACTCAAATCACGGGCCCTCGTTCCTACCGTTTAGAAACCACCGATGGCAGATTGTGGAAACGACACATCGACCAGCTACGGTCCCGACACATCGAACGAGACACCAACGTTCCCAGAAACGCAGAACAAACATTTGTCCAAACATCCCCAGACAATAATAAAAAATCCAGGGGGGGGGGAAAACAAATTAATAAAGAAAATAAAAATTACTTACCCTTAGAAAACTTCGAGAAACAAGAGGAGTTGAAGGAACCTCAGGGGAGAAGCAGCCAGGCCGACTCGATCTGCCCACATGCTCAACGAGGAGACCACGCTGCCCATCCAGCAGGCCCAGACCGCAGAGTAAGATCCACAATCCCAAGTCACGACCAAAGCAGCACGGTCGAGGCTCTCTCCCAAGAGATTCCAGAGGGAGGAGAGGAACGGACGGCTGGCCTGTCCGAACCGGCGGAGACCAACACAGGGACTGAACTGCGCAGGTCAACAAGGACTCACAAGACCCCCGCCTACCTGCGTGACTACGTTATGTTGGAACGAACCAAGAGGGGAGGGGTGTAGTGTATTTAAATAAAGACTTCTAGGGAAACGTTCCTATTGGTTAACAGAAGCAACGATACAATTGGTTAGTAACGTTAGTACCTGATTGGCTGCCAATAGCGGCAGGAAGTTTAATTAAATGTCATTGGTTGCGAGCCATGGAGCAGCCACTATAAAAGGGGCTGCTGCGGTTCAACTGCAGTTGAAGTTACTGTTATAATTAAAGAGCTGAATTCAACTCCGGTCTGCGAGTCTCTTTACTGGCGACAGAACAGTTTACACCTTTGCAATGGTGAGGAACTGGGTTTTGGATAATTAGCATAACTGAGAGAACAGAAGAGATGTGCCAAAACCTACTATGGTTAAAATGACCAGGATTTCTTTTTAACAGAAGCCTAAGAAGCTTATCATTCTCACACCATAGAAATGTAATGAATACTAATGAAGACATCTTTAAGCATTTATTAAATTAGTTAAAGATTTGAATAAGCATTACAATAATCAAAGACTTCACTGGATCATGTCACCATGACATTATTGGGCTAATATTAACATGACTTCACTAATCTTTGTACTCACTTAGGATTTTGGTTTTATTTTATCCAGAATTTAGGATCATTGTTCTTTCCACTTCTTTTTCTTAACCATATCTTATTTGAGTTTGAAAAAAAAAAGCTAAATAACAACATGTCAAAACAGAAATAAAGAAAAAGAAGATAAAGAGCTTTGTTTTCTCAAATTTAAAAAGGAAAATAATCTTTCGGCATTCATTTAAGATTATATTTCCTAAAGAAAATGTTTGTTTGTGTGTGTGTGTGTATATGTGTGGAAATCACAAACATACAAACATAGATATTAGAAACAATAATAAATTGCTTACTTCACCCTCAGGGATTGGGGGAAAGTGGAAAAATTGGAGCAAGGAACAGCCAACTGAAAGTGATACCACTTATTACCTTCAGTGGAATGCTAAAACCAACAGGGAGCTAATACATTTTATCCAAGTTGCAGCCAACAAGCTGAAATTAATGTCTTGAACTGTGATTGGATGAGGCACAGAATTCATGTCTAGCTACAGTAATTACCATTTTTCTTCCAGATTTATTTTTAAATCTCAGTTTTATGTAAAGTCATTGTTGGACAAAGAGAAAAACCAAGAAATGTCAACATTGGTTGTTTATTTAGAAGAAAAGAATAGTGTGTTGAGTTGTGTTAGCACATTGCATAGACTTCCTAAGTGGCAGCACATAGGCAAATCTATTCTGGCTTGTCTCTACATTAGAAATCCTAACTTGCATAGAATAGTGTGAGCATGCCTGGGAGTATGTGATAAATAAATAGATTTGTATTATAGAATGTTTTGTGCAAATATGTTATTATATTAAAGTAGCAATCTACATGTCAGGAGAAACCTAAAATAAACTTATGTGGGAATGGGATACTTAAGAAGACTGTGTGGTAAACCAAAGAGAAAGAGACAAGGTGAAGAATGAATGAATGATGAAGGAATTAGTCAAAAGGAAATGACAAAGATGGAAGAGGTGTACTGAAGTGGTTTATTGTACCGAAACAAAAACCAAGAAACAAATTGGATGTTTTGCATTCAAATTGCAAAATGTCTATATGATGGAAGAGTGACTGGACTGAGAAAGAGTAGAAAATAGAGAAAGTTGTTGCAGGAACTTAATGAAAAGAAGTGAGGAGTTTAAGAAGCAAAGGGCAATATGAATTGCGTGTGTGGACATGGAGGAAGCCAAAATGTTTGGCAAGAATATAAGGTATGGAGATATATAATGAATGAATTTAGTGTAATAAATTTAACTACATATTTCATATTTCATTTTCATGTTTTTATTATTATTATTATTGCTTTGTTACCACTTACTATTTCTTACTCCTTTTCTTTGCGCTACTAATCTTGCTTACTCTGAGAAGGAAAATTTGTGATAGGGATGTGTGTCACTTTCAAGATTATGTTTATAGTTGTGTGGTTGCTGAAAAAATTAGTTACTGTAAGAAGATCCTAACTGAAACCCCATTTTCCTATGATGGCAAGGGACATTTAAAATGTCAACCTTGGTAGATACACCTGAGAGATATGAACATCAAGGACTGCCAATGAATGTTAGATGATAGCATCATCCTGATATTGAGGAAAGGTCAATTTAGGGAAAGCTCTTGTGGTGGCATGTTATTTTTCCAGATCATTCTCCTCTTCTGCTCACTTCACTTCACGCTTCCTCTGCACTGGAATCACACATTTTTCATTTAAATTATACATTACTTAAAAGGCATCTCTGCTAGTTTCTTTTCTAAACTATTTCTAGCCTGTCTTTTAAATCAGGGGTCTCCAACCTTGGCAACTTTAAGCCTGGCGGACTTCAACTCCCAGAATTCCCCAGCCTGTTTTAAATAATATCATTTCTCCCACAGTCAATCATAGCTATTCATTCCTTAGAAATTAATAATTGTATTCATAGAAATTTGGGGGTTGAAGATAAACTTGGCCTTACTAACTTCAGTTTTGAAACTAGCAACTCCAAACTACTTGCTGTTTGTATCCTACAAGTATTAATGGAAGCCAATGAAGAAAATTTTATTAATAATAACTTATATAACCAATTCTACAATGGTGAAGAAAGACATGCAGGCTTTTAAGTTAAATTGTAGTTGCATCATCTTTTAAAACAGCTTGTGATCCCAGAACTGTATCAATTTCTTCAATTTAAAAGACTGAAAATGTGCAAGTCATAAACTCATTTAGAAATATTTTCAATTAAATTACCACCACTACCAATAATAATATCATCAGAGGTTCCCCAAAGACTTAAAAGGAAAGGCAGGTCAATCAACTCCTGATGACTTCTTCTAACAAAAGAAAGTGAGAAAGTGTAATTAAGTAGGCAAGGGGTTCTACTTAATTAGTTCTTCATTTAATCACATAATTCATTGGGGAATGTAGACCATTCACTATTTTTCAGCCAACAGTACTTCCTAGGATTGCTATAGGAACAAAATAAGGAGAAATCTATCACTTTGAAATCTCACAGAAAAAGCGGGATATCATACAGTAAATAAATAATAACAACAGCCTTGTTACTTTAAAAGCAAAAAGCAGTAACACTTACCTAAATCCTAAGACGCGAATTTCTTTGAAACCTGCAAGTTTTTCAAATATCTTTTGCATCTATTAGAGAGAAAAGAAAAAACTGAAGGTAATTATGTGCTCACTCCTCAGCTAGAGGAATTAACAAATATTATCTAAAATATTTATTTAGTATTTACTCCCAGCAGACCTTGTTCTAATATTTGTTAAACACAACTCAAGAAATTAAAAAGAACATTACAGAACTTGTTTCTGTTTTATAATTAATAGGGCGCCAATATCTATAAAACATACCAGATATGGAACTTTTAAAAATCATATATGAGCATATACAATTAAATCATGTAAAGTTGCATTGCATTTTCTAGAACAGCCTTCCCTAACTTGAGACCTTCCAAAGTGTTCTGTATTACAGCTCCCATTATCCCCCAATTGCTTGACCAAGGATAGCATGAAGAAAGCAGCCCTTGAATCTTTATCTGAAGGAATGCATAAGGGACAAATCCAGGGTGGGATTCAATTTTTTTTACTACCGGTTCTGTGGGCGTGGCTTGGTGGGAGTGGCATGGCATGGCATGACTTGGTGGGTGTGGCTTGGTGGGCATGGCGTGGCATGGCTTGGTCAGTGTGGCTTGGTGGACGTGGCAGGAGAAGGATACTGTAAAATCTCCATTCCCACCCCACTCCAGGGGGAAGGTTACCACTGGTTCTCTGAACTACTCAAAATTTCCACTACTGGTTCTCCAGAACTGGTCAGAACCTGCTGAATACCACCTCCGGACAAACCTACCAGTGCCTATCCCACTGACGAATGCTTCACTTTGCAGATATACTTTCAAGAGAAGTGAAGTTTGATATATAATGTCAGTCCATTTGTATATTGATTTACACTCAAACTGTAAAGATTAATTTGTCTGAAATCTCATTTTAAAATGGACTTAACCCATAGCGTAATAGTGGACAAATAGATTATTAATTCTGAAGCTTAGTATGCAGCAAATTAAGGGATTTTTCTCTACTGTACACTTTGTAGGGAAACATCATTAAGTTCCTTCAAAGCTGCTTAAAGGAGCCTTACATTTGAAACTGATCTGGCAATTCAAAAGGCAAAAAGAATGATCTGCTATTTATTAGATGTTCATTGTTTTGTATAAGTCACTCCAGGCAGCATTCATAATACCATTTCTTCCTATTTTCCCCACAACAACAACCTCATGAGGTGGCTTGGGGTGAGAGTGATTGGCTCAAGGTCACCCAGCTGCCTTTCATGCCTAAACTGGGACTAGAACTCACTCTCCTGGCTTCTAGGCCACCGCTTTAGCTGCCACTCCAAACTGTCTCTCACCAATATTCTTTTTCACAGTGCTGTTATTGATTTCTGCTTAGTGTTCAACGAAGAAAGCTTTGATTCATTACTTGCTGACTCTCAAGGACTTAATGAAGCATCAGTTAATCTTTGATAATGATATACACTTGCTATTTTCGCTGTAGCTCAGAAGAAGGAGAATAATGGCCAGAGAATGATCAGAGAAAATGCATGCTTTGGGTTTTCTTGCTCATCACTAGTTAATGACATTCAACATCTATATTTAAATTGACCATCAGGTTTATTGTTTCAATAGCATTATTATAGAGAATTGTCAGATTAATTCCTGATTAGAGATCAAATAATTTTTCCTATTGGCGTGTAAGTCTAATGTGCTCTGCTGACTGGCTAGATCTACAGTCTGTTATAGAGATACTGCCAGCGTGTGTTATTTTGGTGGAGAAACAGATGTCATGCCCAGCTGAGAACACTAAAAGAGATGGAGAGCAGGACAGTAATACTGTACTTCTGCAGAAGCAGAAATCTGTATGTTACAACCTGCGGTGATAGGTCTACATTCTAAAAAAAATTCTGTTTAAGATTCTATGAAAAAAAAAATCTGCATTTGTTTTCATTTCCAACTTTGTACAACCTATGGATCTCTCACAAGCAACTTCCCATAGATCTCCCCCTTTTTTTTCCAAAAATTATTTGATGTCATTACATTTTATTTTGTTATGAATATTTAAAACAGATATTTCTCCAAATAAGCCATTTTGTAACATCTTTTCCCATATTCAACTTTCCAAAATATGCATTTTTTAAAATAAAAAATATATCTCACAAATGTTATCTTGCTTTTATCAGATATTTTTCTTGACAAAAAGAAAATGGATTCCATGCAAGGAATCAATCAAACTAGCAGCCCATGGGCTGGATGCATCACGCACAAGCCACACCCATCCTGGTTCTGCAAAGGCAAAAAACATCATGATATGTCACGATACATCATGTGACATGATAGAGTTTGATACCCATGCATTCATGGAACTATCCATTCAGAAGGAGTCTATTTTGGCAGATCTAGTAAATATACCCTTCTGCAGAGATCTGTGGTGTATTTTCCCATCACCTTCTCCTCTTTGTTATCTTCTCATAATATATAAAAAGATCTCAAGCTTGACGTCTCTTCTAAGGTGTGCACATTTTTCACACTTGGAAGATTTTACCAAGAGAATGTTATAAGTAAGCAACATGTAATCCTTAAGGAATGAAAAATTCTATCTTGCTTTCACATATCATGATCTAAATGCTAGTTTGATTGGGTAGATTTTCTGTGAAACAATTGCATCAATATTATTTTATTTCTAATGAAAGCTATCCCTACTGAAGTATGTAGAGGTAAAATCCCCCATACTAAAATATATTGTAGCATGATGCAACAACATCTGTTATTACCCTGATCTAACTAAATCCTAGTATTTTATCACCTTCACTAGACCAGAGTTGGCTTCTAGGTCCAGTTCTAAATACTAATGTCAATTTATCAAATCCCTTCACAATGTTATAAAAAAACTATTTTTTAAAAGATATTTCACTTCATCCTTGAGAAGATCTCTGATACTTGGCTCTAAATAGAAGCGGGGAGAGTGGCTACCTAATAGACCTTTTCTAGCAGCTATTATTGAAATTTTGATGGAAGATTTTAATGTGAAACGGCTGTAATTTACCTTGTGTAACTCACTGATATTATCCATTACTTAAAACATGATAAAGTGTTCACATTACATGCTAATTATTTTATCAGGATAAAGTACTCTGTACTTGTAGCACTTTATGCAATAATGAAATATCCACAATATTTGAATTGATACATCTTTTATTCTTCAAATTGCTTTTTCATATAATAACAGTTACTGTTCCTGTGTTACTTAATATTTAATTTAAGCATTACCAACTTTTGCAGTTTAGAAAATGCTAGGAGAGGCTTATTCACAAAATGGGGACATAATTCCAAGAATGCCTCTAGCCACTTTCTAAAGCCAACACAATTAGCATGATGCTCCTTTATTATTTTGGCCCCTTTTTCTGGTCAGGGAGAACATTTCTAATCCAAGCACTAAACAATTAGAATTGACCATAATTTTTATTATCTAGGGACATTTATGGAGCCTGTTCATAGCCCTGAGATATTATGGGAAATGAACAGGATCCTGATTGTTAAAATATACTAACTCCAGCAGTTAGGGATCTTCAAACTTGACAGCTTTAAGAATTGTGGACTTCAACTCCCAGAATTCCTCCTCCAACCATGTTAGCTCAGGAATTCTGGGAGTTGAAGCCCACAAGTCTTAAACTTGCCAAGTTTGAAGACCCTTGAGCTTGATAATTTTCCCAGTGCTACAAATATGGGACGAGCTCCATTTTGTGAGCAGGGACAAAATTGGGTTAAGTAGCCTCATGCTTGATATCACCCTTGTGATACTAGCGTGTCCAGAGGTAGATAAGGCAATGTTAAGTGGAAATGAATCTATAGTCTGCCTCTCCTTATGTGCAGATATATCTTTATTCTAATGCACAAATAAAATTCTATCACCATTTGCTTGTATGACAGCAAAATGAAGGCACCTCTCCTATTGATCATTACATATGGTAACAATCTGACAGCGGCTAGAACATTTGAACAGTTATTTTGAAGGATTAAACTGAGGGAAGAGTCTGAGTTACCAAAGTTTTCTTCTTATTCCAGTAAGATTTAAGCACACACCTTTAATAAGTGAGATCTAAAAGTGTTTAACTGTGAATAGTTTATACTCCTTTAAAAAAAAAAAACAAGACAAAAAACAAAAACAAAAGTCTGAAATACCCAAATAGCATAGTGTATACTGAGTTGCTTGGAAATTGAAGAAAACTGAAGTCTAAAATATAATTTCACTTTTCTATCTTAATAAGATGCAGCAGTCCTCATTTAGCTTACCACAATCATGATCAGCAGCTCTGTTGTTAAAGAAATGGGAAATCGTATGACCTCATTTGCGCTTTCCCTTTTTCCACTTCCCTAATCTTTGGAATGCTTACTGACAGCACTGGGATACCTGGCTTGAAACTGACAAGATTAATCATTTTCATATCTCCAGATTTTGTCTCTGGTCCTTTGGAATGCTCACCCAGTTGCTGGAATCAAGAATGGAATTAATGTTTACATTTACATTAAGAGAGGGATTACAAGAGAGTACGCAGGCACATAATACAACTAAAAGCAATATAGTGGCACCAGCAGCTGTGACTGGCTAGGCAAATAGCCTGCTATATTCCCCATTGTATACCTGCTTACTCTCTTCTGACTTCTTCTCCAATCTCTCTACTCAGGGTGGTGGGGAAGAAAAACGGGCCAGGCACAGGAAAGATGGCCTAGATAACAGATAACAGATAATCAGAGTTGGAAGGGACCTTATAGGTCATCTAGTCCACCCCCCTGCCCAAGCGGAAGACCCTACACCATTTCCGACAAATGGCAGTCCAATCTCTTCTTGAAAGTCTCAAGTGATGGTGCTCCCACAACTTCTGAGGGCAAGGTGTTCCACTGGTTGATTGTTCTCACTGTCAGAAAGTTTCTCCTTATTTCCAGGTTAAATCTCTCCTTGTTCAGTTTCCGTCCATAAATTACTTGTTCCTTCCCCCTCACAGAATGGAGACATTGGAAAGGAAAGGATGCAACCACACAATGGGGAATAAATTATGATATTTTGGTAGTGCACTTGTAGCTCCCAGCACCCTATACATTTAGGGCTGCCCGTACTACTCTGCATTTATTCTGATGTACATTTCCCATTGTGTGTGTGCTTACTCTCTTGTAATCCCTTTCTCTCCGCTCTGCAAGGTGAAGGCAGAGGGAAAACAACAGGTCAAGCATAGGACAATGCACACTTCCTGTATGATTATATAACTGTGGGATACTGCAGATCAGAAACACAGGCATTGGTTGTAAAATTATATTATCAGCACCATCGTAATGTTGAATAATCATAGAATAGACAGCCAATAAACAAGGACTACCTATACATTTAACTAGCAAACCAGAAATATATTTTCTATGTCTTCAATAACCACAATATGTACTCTATAACAGGGGTCCCCAACCACCGGACCCCGGACCGGTACCGGTCCGTGGAACATTTTCTACCGGGCCGCCGGTTTGCTGGGCGCCGCCATCTTGTTTTGATGAGAAAGTGCTTCCGGTGAGCTTTTTCGGTTGGAAAGCGGCGTTTGGGTCCTGAAGGAATCCTCGCACCTTAGTTTCATCGAAGGGGCGGCTTCGAACAAAACTAAGGCGCGAGGATTCTTTCAGCACCCAAGGCAAGGCGAGCCGAGCGACCGTCCCGAAGCCGTCCCGAAGCCCATCAACAAAGGTACAAAGGAGGAGTTGAAGGTGGCGGGGAGAAGCGGGGGACGGCTGGCTGGCCGGTCGCTTGGCTCGGCTCGCCTTGCCATGCGTGCTGATGCCGGTACCGGGCCGCGGATCATTTTGTGATGCCGGTACCGGGCCGTGGCACAAAAAAGGTTGGGGGCCACTGCTCTATAATACGTTTTCTTAAAAAAAAAAAATCACAGGAAACAGACTTCATTAGACAAGGAAATGTTCTATTACTATTAAGGAGTGCTTTACCTGGAGTTGATATTTTGCTGCTAGTTTCTGATACAGAGGAGAATCTGGGTTATTCAAGTCTGGTGTATATTCCTGGTTGCTGAGAGTGACACTGAACTCCACCGTTTGCTCCACAGGCAGCTTGGAAATGATGTTTGGAACTTCTGGCTTTAGCTCCCAAGAGAACAAAAGAGGAAACCAGTTTCCAACCCACTTCAAAAAACCCCAGAATACATTTTACACTAATATGAAGCGCATCCTCTGAGTGTCTTAAGTTATGATGCCTGCAATCAAAGGAGGCCTTAGCTTGAGGAATTCTCAGGTTCAGAAGGGAGGGAAGGTGGGAGAAAAGGAGGGAAGCAAACGCTATATTTTTAAAAAAAATCAAGGAAGTCAGGGAAATAAAACAGGAAACATTGAAAAGGGGCATAACTTGGTCGTCACATCTTAAGAAGAAGTTTTTCATGCCACTTGTATTGTTGCTCTTTTCACTGTAGTTACTTTGTTTGTAAATTCTTTGTGTGTACTTCCTTACACTTTGTGATTATGTTGTATTGCACCACCTTAAGAGAATAGCGATTAAAGTCCCAGATATCTACAAAGCACTAGGATATAGATAGCAATAGCAATAGCGCTTAGACTTATATACCACTTTATAGTGCTTTACAGCCCTCTCAAAGCCGTTTACAGAGTCAGCCTCTTGCCGCCAACAATTTGGGTCCTCATTTTACCGACCTTGGGAGGATGGGAGGCTGAGTCAACCTTGAGCCTGGTGGGGATTCAATCTGTCAAATTGCAGTAGGAATAGCATGCAGTACTGCACTCTAACCACTGCACCACTGAGGCTCCGATAGTTAGATAGTTACTTTAGGATTTTGGAGGTTACCTCTTATGATGTACATGGTTTTATTGCACACTGTAGCTATAGCATTTACACTTATATGCAGCCCCATAGAACTTTTTGGCATTCTCTGAGCAGTTTACTATGTCAGCCTATTGCCCCCAACAACCTGGGTCTTCATTTTACTGAACTCAGAAGGATGGAAGGCTTAAGTCAACCTTGAGCCCCATCAGGATCGAACTCCAGGCTGTGGGCAGAGTTTGCCCCACAGTCCTGCACTTTAACCACTGCCTCACCAGGGTCATGAATTTGTTTGTTTATTTATGAAACTACGGCTGCAACCCAAGTCTAGGAAATTGATACTACATATAGTAAAATAGAATAATAACAGAACTAGTAAAAAAAACCTGGTTGTAGGCTGTTCGGTAAAACAAAGCAAGGCATACACTTAAAAAAAACAACTGGGAAGCCTGTAATTGTGCAGCCTGTCTGGAAAGGACAAAGAATGCTTATTCACAGAGAATATGCAAGTGTAAATCTTGTATCAATTTAGGTAACAGGAATAAAGAGTTAGATATCCTGCATACCACTGCTAGAATTTAGGAATAGGGATGGTCTGGAGCAAATAGAATGTGCGTTAGATAACTCCGAGAGCATTCATTGGCCAATGCTTAGGAATATGGATGGCTAGAAACCAATAGAACAATTGTTGGATCATTATTAAAATGTTTATTAGATACCTTTTCTTATATATCCCACCTTATCCTGCCTTCTCCCTTAGTGAAATTGTATAAAGCTTTCCCAGTTCTATTGCTTGAGGTTCCTAGCATTTTCTGGGCAGACCCCACTTTCTTGGAGCACTTCAATAAAAGGAAACAAAACCTGCATCTTGTGTTCTTCATTGACTTTGGCCCCAGGCTCAGACCCAAATTGAGGACAACACATACACAATTGATAATGTTCCTGATATTATTCCCATCAGTCCAAGTTCCTACATATTCTCTTTCTACCCATGCCTTCCCGTGCTTTATGTTTATTTTTATTAGCTACTGCAAAAACCAACTTTTTACCCAGGGTTTAAAAGTAAAGCACATGTAAATGGATTCAGGGGAGTATGATAATAAGGCTGTCTCTACCATTGGATCTGTTGCCTCACTCCAAAGTGGGAAAACACAGGCAGCAGTTTTTGCCTTCTCCGGCTACTTGCTATCAGTTGGTACTTCTGTTCTTCACCACTTTCTTATTATAGCAGAAAGGCCGAAAGAAGGAAAATACCTTCCATTACTGCTAATTGATACATAAAACCTACTCCCAGGGAGGCTTAAACACAAGAAAGGCCTCCAGCAAAACCCTGTTTAACGTTAAGGGGATTGAAGTAATTCACTTATTGGAGTTAGAACGGATTATTCAAACATGGGTACAAGTTTCATATCATGGGGATCTCTGGAGCTTGTATTATTGGAGGTGCTAGTTACAATATGGCTCCAAGCATGTGACACTTACTTGGAATAAATCTCTAAAGAGGCTCAGTAGAGAGAGCAATATAAAAGCCAAATATGATAATCAAGGGAGTAGCTTTTGCTTTACAGGCAGCCAGGGGAGATAAGGGAGGCTTAGACAAATACCATAGGGTAGGAAATAAAGCACTAAACCCAGAGACGAAAGACCATGGAAATGGTTGATTTGTAGGAGAATTAGATTTGAGATCTTGCATTTCTACTATGTAGAAAAGAAGTGAGTTATATAATAAGGATGAACAAAAAATGCTGCATTTGGACATTGGTGCAGTCCTCCGTTGTCTGTTTCTGTTTCTCATGCATAGGCAAGCAACATCATTCACAATTAGCTGAGAGGAAAGACCCTAATCAATATGTACATTTTAAGTGAAGGGAAGAGAGGAAAAATAAGTACTGGTGATGAAGCTAGCTCAGGGATCTCCAAACTTGGTAATTTTAAGACTTGAGGACTTCAATTCCCAGAATTCCTCAGCCAGCTGCTGGCTGAGGAATTCTGGGAACTGAAGCCCTCAAGTCTTAAAACAACCAAGTCTGGAGATCCCTGAGCTAGCTTCATCACCCTGTGAATTCCTGGGTTGAGAAAACGAAGTGTGACTACTTTAGTAGAGAGAATGCTATTGACTCCTCACCTTTCCTGGTGTTTTGGTGTCATTGACAATCTCATTCACAAGGGTATCTGTAGAGATCATTGGGAAGCAGAAATTAAAAAAGGATTAAGGAAATCTACCAATGGGTGGCTTCCTACTCAGTATTATGAGAATTCAGAGCAAAAAGAAAACATCTGAGTTGTTTCCTTTTTAAAATAAGTTACAAACCAAAACATAAATTCAGGTCTCATGCTACATATAATTCTAGTACCTGTATTTGTGAAAAAGCTGTAATCTTATGCACACACTCAGAACCCACTGAAATTAATGAGACATTACTACATAAATGTGCCTAGGATTAAATGTTAAGAGCTAAAGTGTATATGGTCCCTTTCATGTAATTAAGTTTTTTTTTTAATGGATATGTTCAAGGAAGGTGTGAAATTCCTGACTTAGTACTGGAAAGTTTTACTGAACTCTGGAATTTGCAGTTCCCCATATTCTAGAACAGGGGTGTCAAACTCAAGGCCTGCGGGCTGGATGCAGACTGTGGGGTGCTTAAATCTGGCCCATGGGGCTGGCCTGAAAATATCAAAGGACCGGCCCACAGTGCCTCTGCCTGCCAAAATGGGCCACGGGGGGGGGGGGGGGGGGGGGGCGCCCCCCCCCCAGCCCATTTTTGGCCTCCCCGGTCTACAGCAGCACTCTGCTGGCGAAAAATGTGCCACGTTGAGGCCTCATGAGGCCTCCGCGTGGCCTGTTTTCAGCTGGGAGAGTGCTGCTGGAGGCCAGGGAGGCTGAAAATAGGCCATGTGGGGGCTTCCGTGTCTCATTTTGGCCCTCAAAGTGCTGCAGGAGGCTGTCCAGGCTTAAAATGGGGCACGGGGGGTGGATATGGCCCCCCCTGCACCCTGTTTTGGCTAGCAAGATGCTGCATGAGGCGTCCATCCCATTTGCCCCCCTGCTCCCCCCCATTGGCCCACAGACGAGAACTACAATGCCGATCTGGTCCTCAAGAAATGCAGTTTGACACCCCTGTTCTAGAGAAAGATGAGCAAGGTGATACATTTTCTGTGGGTATGAGAAAGAATACTTTAATCAACCCATTCAGCTATTCAGTTTTATAGTAACTAATGAAAACAAACCTCTATTAACTTGTTATTTAATTCTATGCAAAAGGATTTCTTTGTTGGAAATTTATTTTTGATAGCTTTGCCAGGTTTTCTTCATCAAGGAAGCATGATAAATATCACACAGTTAAAATGTTGCAGTTTAAGCGTTAAAATATTTCTCAAACCAAGTTTACAATAAAAAGCCATTCCATTCCATTCATTATATTTCACATGCACTATTTACTGCATTTCCATACTCTGAATTACATGCTCAAACAATAAAAGGTTTGAACTATGTAATGGAAACTGGTGGACCCATATAGTAGGCATGCTTAGTTTTACCTGTAATAACAGAAGGCGGTTCTTCGGTTTTTTTGCCACTGGATTTTTCTGGAGAAATGTCCTCTTTTCTAGGGGAAAAAGAGCAATAAGCAAAACTATAAATTAGACTACGAAAATGGGAGAAGCAGGGATTCATTTCTTTCCATTAATGCCACATTTTATCTAAAGACATGCTTTCACAAATTAAAAATAAAGAATCACAGCACATTGTATTTTCTATAATTTAGCTCTCCAGTATGCTCATGGTGCTCCTGATAAATGAAACCTGCCAAGAAAATACTGTCTGGCATAAATCCTTATGGCAACTCTCATCAGACGAGCAGCAAATATTCATCAAAAATGTATTTATCATTATCAATAAAGAAAGTTAAGCTCAGACAGTGCATCTTTAGTGAAAACTGAGTAAGGAGAGCTTTCCCAAAGAATAAACTATATACCTCAATTATTTGGGCAGCAGCTATTTGTTTCTATTAATCATATGATATCCACTGATTTATATTGCCTAATTAGTACTAGGAGGAGTGATGGCTCAGTGGTTTAAAGACAGGAAAGCTGACAGCCCAGGTTTGAGACTCGGGCACTGCATGACGGGGTGAGCTCCCGTTACTTGCACCAGCTCCTTTCCACCACTTATTTTGGAGTACAATGTTACACAAGAAGAAACTTTTTTACTTAAAAATACCGGAACACTTGATCCAGTTTATAAAAACCCAGAAGACTTCAAGGAGGCAGGGAAAAGACACAGAACAATCTAACTCTCTGCTACCATCTAATAATCTTTAGGATATTTGTAGCCCACATCTGGTAGAGCTCCTTAGTTTGCATAAGGAAACCACTTTGTTAAAAAATGCACAAGTATGAATATGTAATATATAGATTGCCTCAGAGTAAGTATTATAATTGGACATCTTGAAAATGTAGACAAAACCAGAATGTTTTATCACTTAATATGCTATTTAAATAAATTGTATGTCAAAAATGGATATGAAATCAGAAGATGATAATTAAAAAACAATGACACCCTTAAGTTTACATTGTTCAGTTATTTTGCATCAAGATTAGTTAGAAAGCAAAACCACTTTGGATTATGAAAGTGATTCAGTTTCCACTAGTAAACTGCAGCCATACTGGGTAGACATATCAATCTAGATCAGTGGTGTCAAACTTGATTTCATTGAGTGTTTCATTGAGCTGCATCAGTGTTGTGTTTGACCTCGGGGGAGGGGGCAGGGAATGTGGCCAGAATGGCCATGACCAGAATGGCCATGACCACCTCAACATCACTCATGTTGGGGGGCACTTGTGGTGGCCAACTGCTAAAGCAGAACTTCCCTCAGACCCTCCCTCACTATCATTATAATCTTCCTTCTTTCCTTCCTTCCTTCCTTCCTTCCTTCCTTCCTTCCTTCCTTCCTTCCTTCCTTCCTTCCTTCTCCTTTCTTCTTCCTTCCCTCTTTATTTTTCCTTCCTTGTTCTCTTCCCATCTTGCCTTCTTTTTCTTTGTCTTTCCTCTTTCCCTTTCTCCTTTCCTGTCCCTTCTTGCATGATTAAATACAAAAGGGGAAACATTTCTTTTGTTTTGTTTTTGTTTTATTTTGCTAGCTCTCTGCCAATGAAAATGGAGCTTGGGGGGGACAATGACTGTGTGTAGCCCCCCCAGGTGCCCTTTTTGGCCACGACAGCCTCCTGCAACCCTCTGCCAGTGAAAACGGAACTCGGAGGAGCTGCAACCTCCCTGAGCCCCATTTTTGGCCATGACAGTCTCCTGCAGCCCTCACACAGCCTCCCCAAGCTCCATTCACTCTGTCAGAGGGCTGCAGGAGGCCATTATAGTGGAAAATGGGGCCTGGGGGGCACACATGGCCCTCCTGAGCTCCATTTTTGCTGGCAGAGGCATCATGGGCTGGTCCTTTGCTGTTTCCAGGGTGGCCCCACGGACCAGATCTCAGCACCCTGCAGGCCGGATGTGGCCCATGGACCTTGCGTTTGACACCCCTGATGCATTCATCTCAGACATCAGACGGGGTCTGATTGCACCTTTTTTGACAATTAAAAGGCGTATGCTTTCATAGCTCATTTCAATAACCAGAATAACCAGACTGATATAGAATTTAAATTGGGTTAAGGAAGGAGAGACAAATGCAGGTGCAGCTTACAAATACATGAATTAGATTACAAATACATGATTAATTAACTATAATAACATGTTAAGAAACTGTCATGTTCATTGAGATTGCCTGAAAAGTTACTAAATATGACTTCAGCAATTTCTCACTCATTGGTAAAATGAAAGCCCCCACCACCCCAAATAATAATAATTTGATTTCTACTATAAAATAAACTCTAACATTTATCTTTGTTTTGAGTCTTCTGGTCAAGTTTGTCAGCATTATTTAAAAAAAAATATTTTCCCCCATTTATCCCAGGTATAACCCAAAGGGGCATTAGTAGCAGATGGTGGCATATATCACAGTAGAAGAAGAACCTAATCTTGTGTGTGTGTGAATCTTAGGGCTTATGGTGGTGCTCTTGGGAAAGATGTGGGGCAAGGCAGAAATAGGGATTTGTTGCAGGACCTGGTTCCCATGTTAGCATCATTGGCCTGTTGTCTCTTGTTGCTTATGAAAATCCACTTCAAGATGTATGCAGGTATCAGCCTGCCATCCAGTGCCTGAAAAAATGCAGTGTCATTGTCCTTTATAGGCTATCATGTATTAATAATGAACTATTAGATTTCTGATTTTTTTTTAGCCCCATAGAGTAACATGTCTCTTCTCCTATGTTATCCCAGATATGGAAACTTCATTAGGGGACTGGAGGCTAAAACATATAAAGAAGAGTTGCTGGAATTGGGTATGTCTAGTTTAATGAAAGAAGGACTAGGGGTGCCATGATAGCAGTGTTCCAATATCTCAGGGGCTGCCACAAAGAAAAAGGAGTCAAGCTATTCTCCAAATCACCTGAAGGCAGGACAAGAAGCAATGTGTGGAAACTAATCAAGGAGAGGAGCAACCTAGAATTAAGGTGAAATTTCCTGACAGAACAATTAATGAGTGAAACAACTTGCCTCCAGAAGTTGAAAATGCTCCAACACTGGAAGTTTTTAAGAAGAGCTTGGATAAACATTTGTCTGAAATGGCGTAGGGTTTCCTGCCTAAGAGGGGGTTGGACTAGAAGACCTCCAAGGTCCCTTCCGACTCTGTTATTCTACTCTATTCATCCTTCATCCTGCATGCCATGGATTCTAGACAAAGGCAGGTCATCTAAATGTCTGCTTTTCTCTTGGAGCAAAATGTTCTTTCTTTGAAAATGATAGGCTTTCAGATTTGTGAGTTTCTATCAATGTAACCTTATAATAAAATAAGAATTAGCTCATCTGGGCATCCTTTCCATCTAGTTCAGCTTGCAAGGCTGACATCAATCTTGCAAGTCTGAAAGTCACCCCTACTTCTCTTTATAGCCTAAGAAACTAGGGAGGGTACGTTCTTTTTTTTAAAAAAAATACTCTTTATTGATTTTACAATTAAAATAGACCAACAACACATACATAAATGTAAGAGAGAAAAAGAAAATAAGAAAAAAAAAGAATAGAAAGAAAAAGATAGAAAACAATTAAAAACATTTTCATCTTCAACAGTTTGTGAGACCTCCTTTTTATCCTTATTTTATGCCATATACACAATTAATCTTTACATATATCTGTATATCACTACTACAATTCTATCATATCTTCTTTTGCCTTTTAGTGTGAAATCTATATTTGCTCTATCCATTTGTACCAGCAGTTCCAGCTGTCGTAATATATTGAAGTGTTTTTATCTTTTAATGCCAAGGTTAATTTTTCCATTTCTGCACAACTTGAAATTTTTTGAATAATCATCTCCTCTGGTGGAACATGAGGCTGTTTCCAACATTGTGCAAAAGCCAATCTGGCCACTGTCAAAATATGTATTATTATATATTTCACTTTTTTGGTAGTTGTTTATCAAAGATCCCTAATAGAAAGGACTCTGGTTTAAATTTGATCTGTTTGGGAGGGTACCTTCTTTTGCCCCACCCACAATCTTGCTGCTAGTTAAGATGTCTTTAATCTGACCATTCCCTTGGTCTCTTTCCCTGTTTTCCCAAGATTATTTCTATTTCTCTTATGCACGGAGATTAAGGGGTTGGAATCATCCATGCAATCAACAGGAATTTGGGTAACCTTTGTGGGGGACAGTGGAGGATTGTGGGGTGGCTAGCAGGCTCTGGTCCATGGGCTGCAAAGAGTTGAACATGATTTAGCGATTGAACAACTAAGGAGAAGAACTCCAGATAGAAGCAACTCCTGAAAGATAGAGGATGCCAGCAAGAACTACAGGGTCACTACATCAAGACAGGAGACAGAGATAAGGATGTGGACCTCAGGGGTTTTGGGGAGGTGAGGTTTAAGACTTGCAGCCCTTCATCTTATGGGCTACTACAATTTTTTAAGTGCCTGTATAATAAAACTTGATATACAATTTTGCCAAAATTTGGGCAAAATTTTGCATAGGTTGATCAGATATGAGATTGATTACTTCAAATGTTTTTGCAAGCTGGATAGGATTGTAGAGTAAATTCTTCATGAATGATCCTGATACGTTAACAGTTAGGTATATCACTCATGAATGAGAGGCAATGATAATTTTCTTCATTCCTCTTGATTGTCATAGAATAGATTTAAACATAGACTAAGCACATATTTACTTTCACACACATATATATGAAGTCTTCTTTTTTGATTACTTACCTATCCTGGAATGTTCTATGCTTTACTCGCTGCAAAAAAAAGTTAAAAGAAAGAAGAGGATTATTTAGGAGCCAACTAACCAATAATTGGAAGATAACAATGCATTATCATGTCAGCCATGATTCAATTATTAGTTCAAGTCCTTATTTTCTTGGTTTGTTAATATTTCTATGCATTGCTACTATATATAGATACTTCTACATAAAAGCAGATTATAAGTCTTACCCTTTGAATTATCTCCAGGTGTTCTTGGGAATTACTAAAATTTTTCCCAATGTCAAATATATAGAAAGTTTCTCTTTGACAAGCTGTCACCCAGTTCTGATATTCGGTTGTACCTGGAATCCGATCCAAAAAGATCTGGAAAGCCTCCCAAACTGCTTCCTGGCAAACTGAAGGAACACAGTAAGAATGCAAGCACTTTACAGAAAGTCTTTTACCAGATTTGATCACAGTCATTGCCAGTGTTCCTTTCCATATCTATCTTAGGTCACATTATCATACTTTGCTTTATTTCGTTATCGGAAAGAAAATCAACTTTATATTTCATCTTGATGGAATATTGAATAATTTACCCAATAGCAGGCTTTTGTTTTGTTTTGGATTCATTCACAGCAAACAATTCATTGTTGTCCCAGGGAACGGGACTTATAATAGATCAAGGGTCCCCAAACTTGGCAACTTTAAGACTTGTGGACTTCAACTCCCAGAATTCATAGCTGGCTGACGAAGTTTGGAGAGAGAGAGAGAGAGAGAGACTCTGACTCTTGGCCAGGGTTGCTGGTGCTCCTAATAATGTTAGTTTAAAAAAAGTGTGATTGTTGTGTTTGGGAGCCGTGTCAGAACATTTTTGAGGCCATGGAATCTGAACCACTTTGACCAGTGCTGAGGCCAAGAAAAGCCTTTTCTCTCAATCCTGGCCCCAAACAGTTTAAGGCCAACTGGGTTGCCGCATTGAAACAAATTGAGTGGCTTCTTTCCTTCAGCAAAGTAAATCCCACTGTCTCTGCAATGCAAATAACTTCACTGAAGCAAATCACTTTGTGTGTATCTATGACAGAGGTCTCCAAACTTGGCAACTTTAAGACTTGTGGACTTCAACTCCCAGAATTCATAGCTGGCTTAAGGTCACCCAGCTGGTTTCGTGCCTTAGGCAGGTCTAGAACTCATCTGGTGAGTTTCTAACTTGGTGCCTTAACCACTATACCAAGTGGGGGGGGCACAAAAAACCCACCCAAATTGACTATTGTTCTCTTAATCTGACATGCAGAAAAATCAGCAAGGAAACTAGGATTTGCTGTAGGGCAGAAAACTATTATTAGAAACCATGCTTTGTTGTTGCCATACTGATTGCATTTGTTGCATAGTATGATCAGTGAACAAGGGTACATGGTTGATTTGTAAATCTCTGGTTAATGTGTTGTATAGGTGAGCTTTAAGAAAGGAGGAAAACAAAACAAACTAGAAACAGACAAACCATACACATTTTGCTCCTCCATAAGACTAATTCTGCCTTGTTTCTATATTGTTCAGCAAGGCATAATTTATAAACGGTGGCCTAGCGGCAACTGTGAATAGAAAGATGATGTCAAAAGAGCCCATTCTTAGTCCCATGCTTGGTTTCCTTCTTTTATTTCTCTCAGTGAATTTCCACAGAAAGAAAGTCTGCTTTGATTTAAGCAGAATCCCTATGAAAACAGCTTTCCCCTTGTGTGTATTTGAACTAATTGGTTGAAAGTTTAACTGATCTTTCCTGGGGATGAATAACTAAACAGAATACTAAGGCGCTAGCTATGATGGGGCATAATATCCCTTATGGGAAGCTGCTGGCTCCTGCCTTCTCATTTGGGTAAATAGGACCAAGCACATGCAAATGCACAAAGCTAATAAGGCTGGGAAGAGGCTTATGAACCAGCACACAGCAGGCTAAAATCTCATGGCTGTAAGGAAAAGGCCTAACAGTTTCCTCCATGGACTCTTGTTAGTAGCCTTATGCAATTAACACAACAAACACAGCACGAAGGGCTAACACTGCGCAAATATTTGAGAGCCTGCTGCTCGAAACTGAAAGTGTGTGAGTCAGGCCACAGAAGCCCATTAATCTGTTCCTGACAAATAAAAGCCACACATTTTTCTTGTATCGCACAAACCAGTTTGAATGGGTTGAAAAGGAGAGCAGACCTCTTACAGACAATATGTATGCTGGAGATGAACCAAAACAAAAACACATCGGCAAAGGACATTAAACAAAACAAAATTGTAAAACGCTAAATGAGTATTATAGTCGTAGCGCCTCCAATCAAATGCTTTTGGCCTTCCCAGGGTAGCTTAGATCTTATAAGCATTCTCAAGATCTTTTTATGGCGTTCTCTTACCAGGAGATGTTAAAATTACTCTATGGGTCCGTTGATAGAAGGAATGTATTGCTTATCATCAACAACTTTAAAAGCCAGGCTGGTGTAATGAAGCTAAGACCTTAATGTTTGGGACACATCTATGTCCAAAACAATTTTTTAAAAAGCTGACAGAAGATAAGAGTGGCTAGATGCTAGTCATACCAGCATGAGTTTACAGAAACTCAAGGAAGCAAGCTAATAGCAATAGCACTTAGGCTTATATACTGCTCCGTAGTGCTTTACTGCACACTCTGAACAGTTTACAAATGTCAGCATATTGCCCCTAACCATCTGGGTCCTCATTTTACTGACCTCAGAAGATGAAAGGTTGAATCAACCTTGAGTCGGTCGGGATCGAATTCCTGGCAATCGGCAGAGTTAGCCTGCAATACACCATTTTAGCCACTGTGCGACTAGGGCTCCTGGTTAAGACTTAGAACTTAGACTTAGAATAGCTTTATTGTCACTTTGAATGTGCATTAATTGGCATACATTAAAATAAAATTCCATTGCATACAGCTCTCAAAGGGTTACCACCTCCAGTATACACTACATAGCCATGACAGAATAAATAAATAAACACAAAATTATGGATATACACACATATATTATATAATACAGAGAAACAACACAGTCTAGTTTGGATGTATACATGTACACAGTGAAAAAAATGAATCTTGCGAGTTTACCAGCCGAATGGTATAGGGCAGTGGCCCCCAACCTTTTTTGTGCCACGGCCCGGTACCGGCATCACAAAATGATCCGCAGCCCGGTACCGGCATCAGCACACCTGACAAGGCAAGGCAAGCTGAGCGACCAGCCAGCCAGCCATCCTCCGCTTCTCCCCGCCACCTTCAACTCCTCCTTTGTACCTTTGTCGATGGGCTTCGCTTCGGGACGGCTTCAGGACGGTCGCTCGGCTTGCCTTGCCTTGGGTGCTGAAAGAATCCTCACGCCTTAGTTTCGTTCCAAGCCCCCCCCTCAATGAAACTAAGGCGCGAGGATTCCTTCAGGACCCAAACGCCGCTTTCCAACCGGAAAAGCTCACCCGGAAGCACTTTCTCGTCAAACAAGATGGCGGCGCCCAGCAAACTGGCGCCCCGGTAGGAAATGTTCCACGGCCCGGTACTGGTCTGTGGCCCGGTGGTTGGGGACCCCTGGTATAGGGAACAAAGCTGTTACAGAATCTGGTAGTCCTGCTAGGAAGACTTTGAAACTTCCTCCCAGAGGGGAGCAGCAGAAGCAGACTGTGAAGTGGGTGTGTGGGGTCTCTAACTGTTCTGTCCCAGCTGAAGTTTCCGAAAGTAAACACAGATAAACTCCAAATCTGAAACGTTCATGGCTTTATTCCACAAATAACCCTCTTTGTAGATAACAGATGGCTTCCAGCCAATTAGTCCAATAAATCAGAGTCTGTAATCATCACACTAACTCCTTCAAACTTTTGCCTTTTGCAAAGGCAAAAACCGTTTGCAACCAAGCTTATATTCCCTAGAGGGAGGGGCCATTACATTGCCTCCTTACTCCCGAGTTGTCTATGCAGCTTAAGCTATTCCCTCCTATGAAGCATCCTGTGATCACGTGCACTGAGCACAGGTTCTTCTGAAACCTCCTCATCACTGCTGCCAGCCTCCACCATCTCTGAAGGCAGCAGTCCACTCCCTGGTGGTCCCGGCCCCTCCTCCAAATCTTCGCTCTCCTCCACTGTCTGCACCTGCTGCTGGCTAACCACAACATTAACAATGCTTTGAGCTCGAAGCACATAGTGCTTGTAAGCAGTATCCTGAATGACAGGAAGCGAGCTTCCTATAATCTTCTCGGCTGTCCTTACCACTCTCAGTATGGACTTTCTCTCTGAGGCACTGCAGCTACCAAACCAAACAGTGATGCAGTTTGTTAAAACGTTCTCAATTGTGCTTCTGAAAAAAGTGGCCAGGACAGAAGGAGAAAGATGTGCTCTCCTCATCTAACGCAGGAAATACAGGCTCTGGTTTGCATGCTTCACTAAGGATGACATGTGCAGAAACCAGTTCAGATTGTTAGTTATCTGCACCCCCAGATACTTAGTACTGTTGACCAACAGAGAATCCCAGTGAAATGATGTCTACTCAGTCACATAAAGTCAGAATAACAGCCCTAAAATATCCCTGTTCCATTTCTTCCAAACTACCAGCTCTTACTGTTGAATCAGTGATCTCTGTAATATTTGTATGTAAGCCAGTCTTCCTTGTGGTGTTGTTTTATTAATTACTCACTGGAGTAACTGTGGGAGGGAGGTGTGGGGGAAACAAAGGTCAAAATGGCACCCAGAGGCATGAGATCAAAGCCCTATCCCTTTTTAATGTGCGTTGTGTAAAGATTGCTAACGAGAGTCACTAAGCAGAGGGATCTAGCTATAGTAAAACATTGTAGCTGGAAGTCTGGAGAAATGTTACAGCAGAATCATCCTTCTGCGAAAAAGTAACTGAATCTTTTGCTTCCTAATTAATGCACGTTAAAATGAATTTCCAAGAATCTCAAAATGGAGGCAAATGAGGGCACAGCAGGGGAAAAATTGTGCCAGATGGTTCAAAACACCACATTTTAAACAAGAAAACATAAAACCCATTTTTTAAATAATGCCTGTCTCTTTTCCTTAAACTACACGAGAAAAAAAATGAATCTCACTTTGCAATTCCTTTCATTGCCCCATTAATTTTTTTCCAAAATAAAAACCTCTCTTTTTCTTGTTACCTTTAGCTTTTCTTGTTTTGTAAATATCTGATTTGTCTTTCATTTATCCTTGATACATATAATCTTATCAATTATGATCAAACCAGACTGAAAATCTTGGAGGAGGAAAACAGAGAGAGAAGGGACAAAAAAGAGGGGAAAACCCCTTTTAGATTCTCACCCCCCTCTCATCCTCTTTCACAAGTCATAAACATGGCTTGTCACACTTTGGATGCTCAACCACGTCCCACCTTTCTGTGCCCAATTTCCCTAAGCCCTGGGAT